TGCCATCTTTCCAATAAATCAAGTATATCGTCATCATGCACCAACTCTTTCATTTTTATCTTCTTAGTTGAGTATTTCTTAATGTTTTCATCTTCTGTCAAGTCAACATATGATTTTCCAAGAGTTTTCTTTTTGGCAACAAATAAAACTGATTGACCCTCGCTTGGGAGATCAATTTTCAAAGCAAGAGGTTTATTGCATGCTCCATGCTGCATCCCACTGTATTCGACGGGATCCTGAGTCAAGATTTCGCATGTCATAGGTAAAGACATTTGATCAAGCAATGGAATGCCAAATGGTTGCCACATGTCAGTTAGGAAACATTTGTAGGTACACACTGAACGGGAGTGCCTTCTGCTGGAGTCGGATGCTTGAACCATATCGAAATTGTTAGTTGTTTTGGAGAGACTTTTTGAGTGGTTTGTTTCAGAGAGACATTGAATCAACATTTCTTTCGCCTTTCTTTTTCATATTGAGAAGGTGCTTTGAATCCTGGAAGGGGATATGCACGTAGATGTGACTTACACGTCGATTGCTCGGGTCGATGTTGGAAGCCATAGCAGAAGGATCCGTGACGAGCAGCAACACGACAGTGATCCTCTATTGGATGAAACCAGGCAAGCGTTCACTAGAATAATACTCTCTGGGTTTTGTGTGTCTTCTTAACGCGGAACATTTGGAGAGTAGATGGTTGGTTTTCTTGATTTATTTGTTCTGATACCTAATTTTATGTGAATGGTTTCAAAGTAACAATGCATTTGAGGACTTAGCTCATCCTATGGTGGCGAATTCAGAGTCACAAGATTTCAATCGACGCCTTACAATGGCTCATTATATCGGCATCTGGACTAAAAGAGATGTGATAATTGGATGGATGCTACAACGTATAAGAACTTTGTTATTGGTAGGTCTACTCGAGCTCGCAGTTGTAAGAGTTTCTATCGCTGTATTTAAACAAGTGTTGGACATTATTACATTCGCTCTTGCCAATGTAACGGTAATATTCTTAATTTAAAAAAAGAGAGTAAACGATCTTGTAGCAAAGGGAAAATGAAGATAACTAGACCGAATGTCGATAATGTCACTACCATTAACCTTATAGTAGAAGGTAAATGATTAGTTGACCTAAAACATTATAACATGCAAATTATCATCGGCATTTTTCACAATGTTTGGAATTATAGCTTGGTGCTTTGTTGCTTATAGCTAGGGCTAGAAGGAGTTTCCAAGTATCGGGGTACAATAAAAATCAGAACATGTGGAAGATATTATGCATGTTTTGACTTTCATATGTAATGTTATTGAATCAAACTATACACCCCGAGAGACTTTTAATAGTTAAAAAAGTTTAACAAGAGACATAATCATGACACTTCAGATTTTAGACTCAAAAAGCCAAGAGAATTTCAACACCAAATGTTAGAGATAATGTTAGCAAAATGCAAAAGATCCCGGTAACTACTAGTGCAATAGATGTAGAAGGAATATATTGCATTTCTTTGTTATTTGTAGTTTCTGTAAAATCTGATCATACCTAACCTCTTGCCAAGTCTCCGGTTAAATGGTGAAACTAACAAGATGAGAATGGAACTACCTCTGCTGGAACTATTTCATCATACTACGTTAGCTCTTTCATTTCTATGCTTTCATCTTCTGCCGGGTCAACACATGTATTTCAACAATTTCCACTTCGGTGACAAATTAAGTTGTTATATTGACAAGAGCAAAATTTAATAATGTTGAAAGCTTGATTAAATACAGGAATAAAAACTCCAATAGTTGCAAACGCCATCGAATCTACCCATGATAAAGTTATTATATATCATAGTGTCCATCCAATTATCACGTCTCTTGAATTATAGACGATAAATTACCTTCTGCCATCTTTCCAATAAATCAAGTATATCGCCATCATGCGCCAACTTCTTCATTTTTATCTTCTTAATTGAGCATTTTTTAATGCTTTCATCTTCTGTCAGGTCAACATATGATTTTCCAAGAGTTTTCTTTTCGGCAACAAATAAAACTGATCGACCCTCGCTTGGGAGATCAATTTTCAAAGCAAGAGGTTTATTGCATGCTCCATGCTGCATCCCATTGTATTCGGCGGGATCCTGAGTCAAGACCTCGCATGTCACAGGTAAAGACTTTTGATCAAGCAATGGAATGCCAAATGGTTGCCACATGTCAGTTAGGAAACGTTTGTAGGTACACACTGAACGGGAGTGCCTTCTGCTAGAGTCAGATGCTTGAATCATATTGAAATTGTTAGTTGTTTTGGAAAGACTTTTTGAGTGGTTTGTTTCAGAGAGTCATTGAATCAACATTTCTTTCGCCTTTCTTTTTCATTTTGAGAAGGTACTTCGAATCTTGGAAGGGGATATGTACATAGATGCAAATTACACGTCGATTGCTCGGGTCGATGTTGGAAGCCATAGCAAAGGGATCCATGACGAGCAACAACACGACAGTGATCCTCTATTGGATGAAACCAGGCAAGCGTTCACTAGAAAACTCTCTGGGTTTTGCGTGTCTGAATTCATCAAGAGTCTTGTCTTGTCTTGTCTTCTTAATGCGGAACATTTGGAGAGTAGCTGGTTGGTTTTCTTGATTGATTTGTTCTGGTACCTACTTTTGTGTGAATGGTTTCAAAATAACAATGAATTTGAGGATTTAGCTCATCCTATGATGGCTAATTTAAAGTCACAAGTTTTCAATTGACGCCTTACAATGGCTGATTATACCGGCATCTAGACTTAAAGAGATTTGATAATTGGATGGATGCTATAACGTATAAGAACTTTGTTATAGGTAGGTATACTCGAGCTCGCAGTTGTAGAAGTTTCTATATTCTGCTGATCTTCTCCGTAGGCATGTCCCTTGTTGGAAGAGTATGCAATCCATGCACTGATCGACCCTTACTTGGGAGATCAATTTTCAGAGTGAGAGGTTTATTGCATTCTCCATGCTACATCCCATTGTATTCGACGGGATCCTGAGTCAAGACCTTGTATGTCACAGGTAAAGACTTTGATAAAGCAATGAAATGCCAAATGGTTGCCACTTGTCAGTTAGGAAACGTTTGTAGGTACACGCTGAACGAGAGTGCCTACTGCTGGAGTCAGATGCTTGAATCATATCGAATTGTTGGTTGTTTTGGAGAGACTTTTTGAGTGGTTTGTTTTAAAGAGACATTGAATCAACATTTCTTTCGCTTTTCTTTTTCATTTTTGAGAAGGTGCTTCAAATCCTCGAAGGGGACAGGCACGTAGATGCAAATTACACGTCGATTGTTCGGGTCAATGTTGGAAGTCATAGCAAAAGGATCCGTGACGAGCAACAACATGACAGTGATCTTCTATTGGATGAAAACAGGTAAGTGCTCACTAGAAAACTATTCGGGTTTTTTGTGTTTGAATTCATCAGGAGTCTTATCTTGTCTTCTTAATGCGGAACATTTGGAAAATAGATGGTCGTTTTCTTGATTTATTTGTTCTGGTACTTACTTTTGTGTGAATGGTTTTCAAGTAACAATGAATTTGAGGACTTAGCTCATCATATAATGGCTAATTCAGAGTCACAAGTTTTCAATTGACACCTTACAATGGCTGATTATACCGGCATCTAGACTTAAAGAGATGTGATAATTGGATGGATGTTATAACGTATAAGAACTTTGTTATAGGTAGGTCTATTCAAGCTCGCAGTTGTAGGAATTTCTATCGCTGTATTTAATCAAGTTGTGGACATTATTACATTCACTCTTGCCAGTGTAACAGTAATATTCTTAATATAAAAAAAAGAGAGTAACCGAACATGTAGCAAAGGGAAAATGAAGAGAACTAGACCGAATGTTTATAATGTCACTACTATTAACCTTATAGTAGAAGGTAAATGATTAGTTGACCTAAAACATTATAACATGCAAACTATCATCGGCGTTTTTCACAATGTTTAGAATTATGGCTTGGTGCTTTGTTGCTTATAGCTAGGGCTAGAAGGGGTTTCCAAGTATCGGGGTACAATAAAAATTGGAACCTGTGGAAGATATTATGCATGTTTTGACTTTCATATGTAATATTATTCAATCAAACTATACACCCTGAGAGACCTTTAACAGTTTAAAAAGTTTAACAAGAGACATAATCATGACACTTCAGATTTTAGACTCAAAAAGCCAAGAGGATTTCAACACCAAATGTTAGAGATGATATTAGCAAAATGCTAAAGATCTCGGTAACTACTAGCGCAATAGATGCAGAAGGAATATATTGCATTTCTTTGTTATTTGTAGTTGCTGTAAAATCTGGTCATACCTAATCTCTTGCCAAGTCTCCGGTTAAATGGTGAAACTAACAAGATGAGAATGGAACTACCTCTGCTGGAACTATTTCATCATAATGCATCGGCTCTTTCATTTCTATGTTTTCATCTTCTGCCGGGTCAACACATGTTTTTCAACAATTTCCACTTCGGTGACAAATGAAGTTATTATATTGACAAGAGGAAATATAATAATGTTGAAAGCTTGATTAAATACATGAATAGAAACTCCTATAGTTGCAAACACCATCGAATTTGCCCATGATAAAGTTATTATATATCATGGTGTCCATCCAATTATCACGTCTCTTGAATTATAGACGATAGACTACCTTTTGCCATCTTTCCAATAAATCAAGTATATCGTCATCATGCGCCAACTCTTTCATTTTTATCTTCTTAGTTAAGCATTGTTTAATGCTTTCATCTTCTATCAGGTCAACAGATGATTTTCCAAGAGTTTTCTTTTCGGCAACAAATAAAACTGTTACACTGGCAAGAGCGAATGTAATAATGTTCACAACTTGATTAAATACAGCGATAGAAACTCCTACAATTGCGAGCTCGAGTAAATCTACCTATAACAAAGTTCTTATACGTTATAGCGTCCATCCAATTATCACATCTCTTTAAGTCTAGATGTCGGTATAATCAGCCATTGTAAGGTGTCAATTGAAAACTTATGACTCTGAATTAGCCATCATAGAATGAGCTAAGTTCTCAAATTCATTGTTACTTGAAAACTATTCACACAAAAGTAAGTACCAGAACAAATAAATCAAGAAAACGACCATCTATTTTCCAAATGTTCCGCATTAAGAAGACAAGATAAGACTCCTGATGAATTCAAACACAAAAAACCCGAATAGTTTTCTAGTGAGCACTTACCTGTTTTCATCCAATAGAAGATCACTGTCATGTTGTTGCTCATCACGGATCCTTCTGTTATGGCTTCCAACATTGACCCGAACAATCGACGTGTAATTTGCATCTACGTGCATGTCCCCTTCCAGGATTCGAAGCACCTTCTCAAAAATGAAAAAGAAAAACGAAAGAAATGTTGATTCAATGTCTCTTTAAAACAAACCACTCAAAAAGTCTCTCCAAAACAACCAACAATTTCGATATGATTCAAGCATCTGACTCCAGCAGTAGGCACTCTCGTTCAGTGTGTACCTACAAACGTTTCCTAACTAACATGTGGCAACCATTTGGCATTCCATTGCTTTATCAAAGTCTTTACCTGTGACATGCGAGGTCTTGACTCAGGATCCCGTCGAATACAATGGGATGCAGCATGGAGAATGCAATAAACCTCTCACTATGAAAATTGATCTCCCAAGCAAGGGTCCATCAGTTCATGGATTGCATACTCTTCCAACAAGGGACATGCCTACGGAGAAGATTAGCAGAATATAGAAAGAGTCATGTTCCTGATAATCGAAACTCATACAAGTTGGGGATTGAAAATTCATTCACAGCATACCCACTCCGCCAGACACTGCTGGTCCTCGAGCCGATTAAGATCCTCTACTTTTCTTCCGGTCACCAGCTCCACCATTATAAGAAATACTCATTTAAAAACCAAGTTAACTCAACTGGTAAGTCAAATGATGAGAACGTAGACCTAGAATCAAATTCTAGATCATGTATATGATCATATAAAACCATGACATGCTATAGAAATCATGTGAAAAAACGTAGACTTAATCGTCATATGACAGTATGAATTAAGGAAGTGATAGGGTTAGCCGCCAAAGCCAAAAAAGCAGAAAAAGTGATCCCCGATATCTCTAAACCAAGTTCATCTACTCCGAACTCATGTCTGCAATCAATAATTGAGCATTAAAGAAGACAGATCCAACTTATCTATGTCATGACATGACTTGAACATTAAGTTTGTTTAAGTTTGACCAATTTTTCTAGAGAAATCTATGGATTCTAGACTCTAGAGAACTTGAGCAAGGAGCAACCGAAATAACTAAGTAACTTTGCTTGATCAACTACAACTGGCAAAGAGAAGTTTAAGTTGAAACGGTGCATATAAAGTCAATTAAGAAGTGAAGACAAAGTCAAAATACAACATGGAAATTGTGGACATGAGAAGCAAGTTTTGTAACATAACCGTTAACTAGTACAAAGTATTAGAAAAAATTAGTTGGTTGCCTTGTCAAAGTCTATTAACAAGTTTATATATGGCTCGGATGTACGACCTGTAATATAGTAAAATTGTGTACCACACAACTACTCAATAAAATATTTTATCCCTTGTCCTCATACTTATTGATCCTCTCTACTTATACACAATATTCAACCACACTTTCGTAAAATCCAAGAAGCGCCAATAACAAATATTACTTAAGAGCAAAATGATTGACAATAGAGCAGTGAGCTGGTTGGCGAGCCAATTTATTTTTACTTGGACTTCATTTGACTTGCGCCAAACATGTATTATATGAATAAATATCCAAGATTATTGGTACCATGAAAGATGATACCTGCCCATGCTAATTTAAATTGCGCGCTAAACATTATTCAGGATTTCATAATTCCTACTTTTTTTAATTACATTTGACTCAGTAGAGTGTTATTGAAAAATAATAGCTAGACTTATTAGTCTTAGCTGTATAAAGATACATCCAAAGTAGCCAAACCTTGCATCTCTGAAGAAAACGGAGACTAGAAGGTTGCACATGCTTCTTGATGGATGCTGATCACTTTTTTTTTTTGGTAACCGAGGTGTCCGGGCCAGCTTGCGCGCACCTCGACTATTCCTCGGGGGAGACTAGCACAGCAACCCACCGCCATGGCCCCCCACTTAAATCACAAGTGCTCAGCTGGGGAATCGAACCAATGCTGATCACTTTTCATCTGTCATTACCACAAGATCATACTGATGAGTGCCTTTAGGCATGTCCTTTGGAGTATTTAGATCAATCTCCTCAATGAAAAGCAATGTGAACATCCGAGTCCTTGGCTCTGTGCAAATTATTCACAAACCCAGACATGTCGTCATTCACTTTAAAACTAGTAGTAGAAGTACTGCAGAAGCAACTAATATTATTAGTGGAGAAGCTGCTCTCTCATTTCCCATCCATGCCGCAACCCATGGATTTGTAATGTGCTACCAGCCAGTGGGGAACTAGATACTCACTTCCTAAAAGCCCCACTTTTTTTGATAAAAAAAAAGCTCCACTTTTGCATGCTCCAAATTCAAACAGGGGAAGGTGAAAAACTCGACTCCTTCTCATGGGTCATAGCGGTTGTTAAGTATAGGGAACGGATCGAAATGTTTTGACGCACATACATTGTCCATCAAGGGAAGTGGTGGGGATGAGTCCGTGCATGTAGCTAAGATGTCATATTGTTCTTGAAAACTAGGCAAAATCCCTTCAGTTATGTCTCGTGGATGGGATATATTGTTGTCGTTTGGCCAGGATGTAGCAGAGTTCATCTTTAATCTCTTTTTTAGGGTAGAGTTCCAAAAATTCTTTATTTCGTTGTCGGTTGTTGCGGAAAGACATGCTACAGATCTGAATTTATAGTGACATGTGTAGTATGCATATATGAAATATTTAGGGGAAATAGCGTAATAGATTACAAGTTGCAGAAATTTTCTTCAACTCATATTTGAAAACAACCAACGATGGTTTAGTTAACAGCAATATAATTTGGTATTAACAGTGCTGAAACTGATCATCGAGACATTAAGTTGAAAAGCATAAGTTGGTTACCCATGATCTTATCCTAAGAATGACAAGGAATACGAGAATATTTCGGTATTAATTTGAGGTTGTGACATGAAAAATAAAGGTGACATGCAATGCAACTACATTCTTTTGGCTCAAATAATACTAATAATTTAGCAGTAAACAAAAAAATAAAAAAATCTACAACATGGACCACCATGGTAGCCTAAACCAAACTAAATTAAATATTTCCTCGAACCACCACTCTCGACCTTTGATCTTCGGAAAATTCATAACCATTTCCATCCTCGTTGGTTTCGAGCATCCATTTCAACACGCACTCAATCAAAGTGGTGAATCAACAAGTTCACCAATCAACAAACGATCAAGTAATTCAGCTTGAGAAGTTGATCCTATGCATGCTATTCGATCGACCCAGACACCCTATAATCAAACTAGAGGTTCGTTAACTATGGTTAATGATCATTAACCCCCACTTGCGCTCACAAGGCAGTAGACTAACACCATCAACCCCTAATTAAGCTCTAATTACCTTCTTACTCTACCTGCCGGAAGGCATGCCTAGAAGTCCTAACATTCATCCATGCATTCTTCACATGCAAAGCCGAGTAAAACATGCAATTAGGCACACAAGACAAACGGTAAACAAACAAGTGGGGGCACTAGTTACACTCAAAGGACAAGAAGTGACCTCTTTCGTAACCCAATATTTATTTTTTTTAATTTTCGGAATTTTTAATTTTTATTATTTATTATTTTTTATATTCTATCATTATTATTATATAAAACGGACCCGGGTCGGATCCTCAAGCCCCTGTCCGGGTAGAGACCGAACCCGGGTCTCGCTGGCCCGGGCCCTCAGTCTCAGCTCTTGAGCCCAGTGCGGCTAGCCCAACCCTCATAAAAACCTAAAGCTGCCCAGTCTTATTATCAGCCTAGCCTGCGCACCTAAAAATTAGACCCAAGACCACCTTGCCTACTCCGTCTAGCCCAATTGAAATCAAGCCCACTAAATCTTTTTGGCCGGACGCCAACAAAACTCCGGCGACGCTTGGCCCCCACGGACGGCCGACGTCACCAAACCGAAGAGATAAAAGTTGCCCCTCCGCGGCCTAAGCGCCGGTCGCCAGCCTACACGGCTTCCACCACAGAACGGCCACACAGACACGACACGCAAAAAGAAGTGACGTATCGAGAGACGAACGGCGATGAAAATCCACAAAACCATGATCTACGCGAGTTTGGTTCAGGCATTTGACCGAACACGTGGTGAGCATCAATCAAGCGGAGAACATTGACCCATTGAACAGTCGAGTTTGTCTCTAGGCTTAAAAAACAAACAACAATCATCACACAAAAGTAAATGGGGATGACCCGTTCAAAGCAAAGACACGCACGAACCGGAGGAGCCTCGGTCCGGCTTGGCGAAACAGGGCAAAACGGAGCAAAAACGGTTTCACGGGGACGAGCGTCTAACCACGGGGTTCCCTACTCCGCTCGGAGACGGTGGCCAAAGGCAGGCTCGAAGCGTATCGAGCTGTGGCCGACCGATCCGCAAGGCTTCCTGATGGATTTTCTTTGTGAAGATGGGCCGCCCATGATGGGCTAACCCAGCCCATGAAAGAAAGTAACTGCACTTGGCAGTTATTGTCTAGAAACAAAAGTGGGAACACACGTAAGAGTGTGTGGTGTGGCATTTTCATCATCAAAAAAAAAAACTCATTCTCACTAAAGGACAAAAGCAGAAGGGGCTTTGTTCAACAATTCAAGGATTGTTCTCTCTCTCAAGGCTGTGATAAGTGCATTTAATCTGTGGCAAAGAGGTATGTTCGTTTACGTGATATACTTCGAACGATCAGTGATTCAAGTATAGAATGGGCACGTTTTTCCGCAATTTTTGTATTATGTTTAAGAATCTGTTTCCTTCATTGGTATCAGAGCATGTGTTCTTGTTTCCTGATCGTTGCTAATGTGCATAACACGGAATATTGGCCGGAATTCGTGAAACGGCGCCGACGAACGCTCGGGTACGAAAACTGACACCGTCCGTACTGTTCGGAATTGTTTCTCGAAATTCCGTGAGATAAATTTCATTTTTGAAGGCATAGGGTCGTAGTGCTCATCGATACGAGCAAAATGACGGGTGGCACTCCGCCGGGGGGAGCCGCACGCGCCCACACGCCCCGCCGCAAGTGGCGGTCTCGTCGGCACGTGCGTGGCACGTGCATGGCGGTTCCTCCCCGCGCGCGTGCACCGCACGCGCCATGAGGGCGTGTGCGGCGTGGCTGACGTCACGCTGACGTCAGCCATGCGGTTGCCCAACCGAGTTTTCTCAGACCCGACCCGACCCGGATCCGACTTGACCCGATAGTCCACCCCGACCCGTAGACTTGACCCGTTGACCATTGACCGGCGTTGACCACCGTTGACCGGCGTTGACCGGCGGGAAAAAAAAAAAAAAGGACAGAAGGGGTAGAATGTGTTTCTTGAAATGTTGTACCTTGGATTATGAGTAATCCTTTCATTTTTTCTGCATTTGTTGTAGGAATAATGGTACGAAGATATCGAACCCCTATTATCCCTAGAACGGCGGCTGAAAAGAAGAAGCTTGAGAAACTAAGAATCAAGCTGGCTCTTTACCGGTGGGATGCTGATGATGACATGATGACACACATCATCAAGGTCAACCAAATGATACAAGATATCATTTGGAACGGTTTCGTAATGCTAGGGTATGTGATGGTCGGAGCCCTCAAATGCACCATTCCTGATGAGTTGGGAAGAATGATTGATAGGGTTTGGGACGCCTTAGAAGGTCCGAGCTATAAGATGATTGTGGAGCAATTCATAATAGAGTACATTCGGGTCGGGGCAAGGAGGACGTCAACCCGTACATTGAATCGGTCTCGGCGCAATACGTTGCCCGAATCTAGGGGTTTTCCGGGTGCCTCCATTTGGATGCCAAAGAAAATAAAATTTCCTGAGGTTTTTCATGAGTCATTTCCGGTTTATAGTAAGAAGATCACCACCTGATTGTGTTTATCTATTTTTCGTAAGCTCTTATGGATATGTTCACTATAAATTGGTGTTAAATATCTTGGGTGGATGGTTCTTTTTTATGTTGGTGTTTATGTTTATTTCCTATGATGGATTTGTTTCTCATGTAAATAGTTCTATAATGAATAGATGTTGACGGATATTTTCTGTTATGAATAGTTTATGGTGCTATTATATTATAATATCTGTCTTATTAATATTATCTGGTTGACTGGGAGTTCTAAAAGTTTTAGTAACTTTAAAGAACGTAATTTTACCTTAATGATTACATTAACGGTAATTTCACATTAGGTTTTTTGATGATGATTGGAAACATAATGAACTTTCGAATCTAAAGTCTATGTGAAATTATTCATTAATATAATCAGTTTGTGTAAAATTGATGCATAAATGAGTGGCATTAATAATTCGTGCATATATGTCTAAAATGTTCAGATACCATGGCTTCAGCATCAAAGAATATAGTTGCTGAACTAAACAAAGGAGAGAAGCTTAACGGTGATAATTATGAAATTTGGCATATGAAAATTCAATATGTGCTGGAAGAGCAAGAGGCTCTTGAAGCTCTTAACCTGGTTATGGTAGAGCCTGAAGACGGAAACACTGCACAACATAAGAGAGATAAGGATGCATTTGCTGTATGGAAAAGGAAGAACTCCCTTGCTCGCATCACGTTGCTGAGTAGCATGGAAAATGATGTCATGCGAGAGTTTAGGCGTTTTGAAAATGCTAAGGAGATGTAGGAAGCATTGGCAGCAAGGTTTGGTCATACATCTGTAACCAAACTTAGACAGCTCACTATAAGATTTGACTCATATAAGAAGCCACATGGTCAGTCCATGAAACAACATTTAAGGAAAATGTCAAACATGATTAATGAGCTGAAGGATGCTGGCCATGTTCTTACTGATGAGCAGCAAGTGCAAGCAGTGATTCGTTCTTTGCCTCA